GGTTTACAGCATACTGGTTTACAGCGTACTGGTTTACAGCGTACTGGTTTACAGAGTACTGGTTTACAGCCTACTGGTTTACAGAGTACTGGTTTACAGCGTACTGGTTTACAGCATACTGGTTTACAGAGTACTGGTTTACAGCGTACTGGTTTACAGAGTACTGGTTTACAGCATCCTGGTTTACTGAGTACTGGTTTACAGAGTACTGGTTTACAGCATCCTGGTTTACAGAGTACTGGTTTACAGCATGACAGAAATGACACTTAAAGTAACAGTTTGAGAACCCTGAAAAGACAATGAAGGAGGTGTTGTTGTGGATGGTGTAAATATAAATACCTGTAAATAAACCAGGTGAGTGTAAACCTGTTGCTGATGCCATTTCTCTCTGTAACAGTCTGCTGATTAAAAATGTTCCACCGATTCTTCATTCTGCTTTGGCTGCTCAAGGCTGTCTGTTCAGCTCATTCCACAGGTGAGTCCACAGGTGAGTCCACAGGTGCTCTACTTGGAGCCACAAGGGCTTCTGTGCACTGCTGATAGTTGATGGCGATCCTGTCTTTGATTCCAACCAGAGACTGTTGTTATTGATAGCTAACGTTAGCCACATTAGCATAGTCCTAACTTTATAGCCTTGTTGAAATAAAACTGAATTTACTTTTACATACAGTCTGAATGTTCTCCTCAATCCCTCCCCGTCTGTAAAGACCTTTAGCCTACAGGCTAATTATTTACTGTATTTATATTGGCTGAGATTTAATTCAATTCAGTTTTATTTGTATAACATAACAGAATTTATCTCAGGACACTGTTCAAACAGAGCAGGTCTAGACCGAACTCCTTATAACATTATTTACAGAGACCACAATGCTAGCTAATGCTAGCGAATGCTCACTATTAGTTACATAAGAGTTATGTTTTGTATGTAAACCTTGCGTGTCCTCAGGCACTGTAGCCACCAGCTGTGAGTCCTGTCATCCACTGGCTCGATGCCACACCTCCCTCCATGACAACAGTGTGGAGACTGTGGGCGTGTCCTGCCACTGTGAGGGCGGCGTGGTGGGAGATGGATTCACCTGCTACAACAAAACCACCTGCGACGATGGCTGCTGCGACCGAGGTTACCGCTGGTCGCCGCTGCAGGGCTGCGTGGATATCGATGAGTGTTTGCTGCCCCGGCCTCCCTGTGGTCTCGGCCAGCTCTGTGAAAACACCAGAGGCTCCTTCACCTGCCTGGTGGCGACCCCTGATCCACAAAGTCAAACCGCACCCCGGTCAGTGAAGTTTGCCTGCGGTGGCACACAGTGCCCTTTTGGTCAGGACTGCCTCCATGTGAATGGCACATCTCAGTGCATTGACCCCTGTCAGCACTACACTCCGTTACAAGATGACTGGCGAGCCACAGACTTCAGGGTGGACCCAGAGTCTGTGGCCTGCGACAGCCGCACAGATTGGCAGGGCTGGTACCGTCTGTTCATCGGTAACAACAGTGTCCAGATGCCAGAGAGGTGCATTGAGAGTCACATGTGTGGGACCGATGCTCCGCTGTGGCTGCGGAGTCCCCACCCGCTGGACTCGGAGGGCATTGTACGGGCGGAAGTTTGCGGCAGCTGGGAAGGAGATTGCTGCCAGTTTCAGTCCAACCTCATCCACGTCAAAGCCTGCCCAAGAAACTACTACGTCTACAAGTTTGTGAGCCCGACTTTGTGTCGACTAGCTTACTGTGCAGGTACGCAACAAGTACTCCTTATATGGAGCCAAAGGATCCTGATCCAGAGGCCTCAACTACTGTTGTGCCAAAAGGAACATCTGAAATACTTTTATGGATTTTATTTTAAGATAATATTAGTGGTTCAGGACCTGTTAAGCATCATTAGACTGACACAGAATTGGATTCTGTGTTCCTCATTTGTGCCAAAAGATCGTGTCTTTAAGGGCAATTTAGACCTCTCGTACCATCAGATTCTCTAGCAGACTTTGTTGTTTTGTGTTCCTCACCAGATGTAAACACCGTGGTGTGTAGTACCTGCGCTGAAGGCAAGACCTGTGTGAGCGATGACAAGATCAACTGGAGGTGTGGAGATCCAGTAGTTTCAGGTTAGTTAGGTTCCCTGGTCTTTTGTGGGGTTTCCATGTGTCCTAAAGAGGTTCAAGGCTCATCTGTTGCCATAAGTCCTTAAAGAGTTCTACAAACCAGTTCTTAAAGAGGTTGTAGAGGGTCTCACAGATCCTCTTGAGTCTTTCTAGAGATCCTTCAAGAGGGATCATTCAAGAGGGCTCCCTGGTTCCTAAAGAAGTTATAGAAGTTCCTCAGGGGTTACAACAGGTACTCTAGAGGTCCTCCAGACTGTCCTTCTGTATTTAAAAGGGGTTCCTAAAACTGCCCCACTTCCTTACAAAGGTTCCAGAGGTTCTTTGCGTGTGCACAAACACATTCTTTTGAATGGAGACGAGCAACGAGCACGCTCAAAACCTAAAGTGACGCTGTTGCTGCACATTAGTTGTGATGCAGCTGTTTCTTCAGCACTGTGTACCGTGGATGTAACTAAACATCGGGTTGGAAGATCAGCCAAAAGCTTTACTCTTTAACTCTCAAATTCCACCAATAGCGCTGTGGTGCATAGCAGAAGCATCTCTCCGGTCTGCTCCACGTAGAATACACAGCTGGTCTATTTTTGATGGAAGTCGCGAACCGCTCGCATCAATCAGTACAGAGCATATCGCTGACAGAAGGTCAGACAACATAGAGAACACAGGCAGTTTTCAAAATAAAATACTGCGTGTAAACTCCAGATGAAATTTCACACTATTATGAACATTGTGGCACCAATTTCAGGGTAAGGGGTCAAGGAAGTCTTTTGGCTCAGAAAACGGTCCGAGATCTACAGATGACCATCTGATGATTAATGATCCTTTTTGTGCCTGGATACCATGGATCAGTTTCACCATAAATAATACTACATACCATAATACGCCCCACTTATGTGAAAGGTTGTTGTTGTTGTTGTTGTTGTTTTTGTTGTTGTTTTTGTTCACTGTCACTCTGTTTCAATGTTTAGCTCCTCGGGTGAGGCTGGTAAACGGTAACTCAGAGTGCTCTGGGAGGGTGGAGGTCCTCTATAACAACCAGTGGGGAACAGTGTGTGATGATCTTTGGGATTTAAACGACGCCCAGGTGGTCTGCAGACAGCTGCAGTGTGGCCCCGCCCAGTTGGCACTTGGTAGCACCAACTTTGGACAGGGTACCGGACCGATCTGGTTGGACGATGTTGCCTGTACAGGCAGCGAGTCGGCATTATCAGAATGTGGCCATCCAGGGTTCGGAACTCATAACTGCAACCATGCTGAAGATGCTGGTGTCGTCTGTTCAGGTTAGTGACATTTACTGGAAGACCAACTGTCTGTTTGTCTGTTTCCTATCTGTCTGTAATCAATAAAAGTATTTGGTGACTCATCCTGCACTCGGGGGCATTTACTAATGCTGCATCCAATCAATTGCTTTCTCTCTTCTGACGCCGCCGGAGCCGAGTGTTTCTGAGGACCGTTACAGACAATCTATGACCTCACTGAGTACAAACACCTACTGTAGAGCTACATTAGCTAGGTAACTAGCTAGCTTATCTACGCCAATCATTAGCTAGCTAGTTACATCTGAAAGCTAATGTTCGAAGAAGAAGAAGAAGATGAAGATATACTTTATATCAGGCCTTATAGACATGGGGTTAGGTTGCCTTGCTCAAGGGCACCCTTAGCAGTGCACAGCAGGTGGAACTGGCACCTCTCCAGCTACCAATCCACTCCATACTGTGGTTCATGCTGGACTTGAACTGGCAGCCCTCCGGTTCCACTATCTAACTAACGACTGATGTTTTCTCTATAGCAAAACAAACGTTTTAACTAGTTAAATCTGAAAACTATTGTTGGCAAGATGTACTGTAATAAAGACTCTGATACCAACAATGCCTTGTTCCTGTGTATTATTATGTGTTTCAGATGAACTTGGTGGTTTTCCAGAGCCGGAGCTGGACTGTGGACAGGACCACCTGCGCCTGATGGTCCAGAAGAGGCTGCTGGAGGAACGAGGGCTGAACGCCTCCTCCGCCCACCTGATCGACCCGCGCTGCCAGCAGCAGGTCGACCACCAGGAGGCGATGTGGTACCTGGTGGAGCGAAGGAAGAGTGTCTGTGGAAACGTGGTGAAGGTGGGTTTCATTGGGTACCCAGCATTATATTTCATATCTGACATATTCAATTCAATTCAATTTTATTTGTATAGCGCTAATTCATAACAGAAGTTATCTCAGGACACTTTTCAAATAGAGCAGGTCTAGACCGAACTCCTTTTAACATTTACAGAGACCCAACGG